TTCCTCAGGACAGATGACCTGGTCCACAACAGATAGTTACCAGGAGCCCAGGCAAATTTACAAAGTAGAGGGAATTGCCTTGTGCCCCTCCTTTTCACTCATAAGTAATTAAAAATTCTAGGTTTTAACATTAAAACATTAACATTTAACATTAAAACATTTAACATTAAAATCAAATAACTTAATTAACAATCTGGTAATTTTCATAAGTGATAGTCAACTTGTTTTAGCTATAAACTATTCTTTAATTACAGGTAAAGATGGAAATACCTGATTTTCTAATTGACAGTTATAAAACATTATGAGACAAAATTAACTGGACTTGATAAAATAATTTAGCTGTTTTTTACACAGCTTTCCCCTATCTTTCAGTCTTTAATTCACATTTTAATAGAATCTAAATTATTAAAAATTGTTTGACATAGCACAACACAATACAAAAGTTTACCAATTTGTAACAATACTAGATTTTTAAAACTTGAAACATATTACTGATTTGAATGAGCTAAATTATCTTTTGATTGCGTTCCAAATACATTAAAAAAAACTTTTCATTAATATCTCCTATTCACTATTCTCATTCTGTCTCTCACACCCCAACTTGGCCAGGGTTGGAATGCGAGAGAAAGGAAGAGAATATTTTCCAACAACTTATCTTGATAATCTTTCAATTTTACACCCAAAGCTTTGGCCAGAGCTTTAGAATGCAAAAAGGAAATAATTTTTTCCTAACAATTCTCAAAAAGTTTCCAAACCTTTTTACTTTCAAAACCTCTAATCACACTGTGCAAATAAATTATACCTTCCTTATGCTTGCTACACATACTCCTTTCTCCTACATGCTTAAACTTACTTGCCTTTTACAAATCATAAAACCTAAATAATAAAATATTTTTTCTCTCCTTCTATCCCCCATCCACCTGCTCCTGGGAGGAGGCTGGTATTAGGGAGGGGGGAAAGGGGAGAAAGCTAGCTGGCTGCAAAAGGTTTCAGATTACACACATACACACAGATACTCACATAGAACAGATAACATAATGACAGAGAGACTCTCGGTTCAGAGAGTTCATAAATCCCCTACACAAAGCAGACAACTCCTTTAGAGAATGAGCTTTCTCCACTTCTGTTGTTTAAGAGAAAGGAATACACATCTTTCACCTCATCCTCTCCTGCAATTCTAAGTTTCTCATCAAATAGTCTATTCGTCTCTTCTTCTTCCTCTCTTCCAGCCCCCGCATTTACCCTGGGCACTTTTGTTGCTAATGGCACATTCTCTGGAGGAGTGAGACATATTTTTAGCATGTTCCAAAATTACTGTAGCTGACTATTTGTAACAAATAAACTCCTTTCTGTCACTATTTCATTGAAAAGTTTTAGATAGCATTCTTTGTCTATGATTCCGCTTTGTGTTTGACCCATACTTTCAATCCCAGGCACGCCTCCCAAAACTGAAAGTAAGTGTGCGTGGCCGTTTCAAAGCAACACTATCTTTTGTGCTCTAGCCCCTTTTCCTTTCTATTCTTATGCTCTATTACCGAGCCTTTATTCTATCTTATCTCTAATCTCCCACTAAGCCTGGTGACCTTAGCCCTAAAACTGCTAAGGGATAATTTGTAATGACTGTCGCTCCCTTTTCCTTGAATCCGCAGCGTCCAGCTGCCAAGGACCTTGTTCCACAGCGTAATAGCCGCCAAGGGTTTTTCTTTTCTATACAGTATACACCACAAGAGGGATTGAGTATGTGACCTTGGCCCTGTCAATACACATCCCTGGCTTCAGTTTCTTCATTTGTAAAATGAATGGCATGGAAGCCATCATCATTGTAGGCCATTCTAAATCCTCTGATCTTGAGTGAAGAGAATACTTGGAGAAATGAACTAGGCCATCTTACATGTTCTAGATAACAAGCAAAACTGGGACAAGATATAAGAGAGCTGAAGGTGCTAGATGCTAATCCACTGTGCTCTGCACTCCTGGATTCAAATCACTTTCTTGTGGATGTCTTTCACCTATGTTCCCATCATCCTGAAAGTGTCCTATGTGTGCGGCTCTACCCCCCTGAAAATGTCTGACCTCATGTCATCTCAGATGGTAAGCAAGGTCAGGCTTAGATAACATATGGATAGGAGATTGCCTAGGAATGTTTGCTACTGCATCTGAGAATCAGCACAGTGTAATTCATACAGTACTGGACTTGGAATAAGGAAGGCTTAATTTCAAATCTCACCTCACAAATTTAGTGTAATTCTGCGCAAGTCACTCTGTCTCTCTTTGCTTCAGTTTCCTCATCTACAAAATAAGGCTTTGGTCTCAATGGCCCCTCGATGAAATTTTAAAAAATTAACCAAAATCTGCTTTTCCCCCCCAAATCCATGGTGTCTTTTGTCCTCAGTCCTCTGGAATTATGGATAGTCATTCAGTTGATTAGAATTCTTACACCTTTAAAAATTGCATTTTTAAAAACAATATTATTGTTAATTTATAGTTCTTCCCCTGGCTCTGTTCATTTTACTCTGCATCATTGTTCATACTATTTTTTCCATGTCTCATTAATTAATTAATTAATCAATTTATTTATTTATTTATTTTTGGTCAGAGTAAAGTTTTTTTGTCTTTGTTGTTTATTTTCTTTTTTTTAACTTAATAGTATTTTTTCAATTTCACATATACTTTTCAACATTTATTTTTGTAAGATTTTGAATTATACGTTTTTCTCTGCCCTCCCCAAGACAGCAATTATGTAAAAGTTATACCTGTGCAATCATGCTAAACATATTTCCACATTAATCACATTCTGAAAGAGGAATCAGAACAAAACGGAAAAACCACAAGAAAGAAAAAACAAAAATAGTGAACTCGGTATATTTCAATCTGCATTCAGACTCCACAGTTCTTTCTCTGGATGTGGTTCTATCACGATTCTTTTACAATTACCTTGGATCGTTGTATTGCTGAGAAGAGCTAAGTCTGTCATAGTTGATAATTGCACAATGTTGCTGTGAACAATATGCTGGTTCTGCTCACTTCACCTAGCATCAGTTCATGTAAGTCTTTCCAGGTTTTTTCCAAAATCCACCTTCTCATAATTTCTTATAGAACAATAGTATTCCATTACATCCATATTCCACAACTTGTTCAGCCATTAACCCATGTTTCTTTTAAATCATCTATTTCCTCTTTTCTCCTCCCAGCTCCTTTCTTTCTCTGTTTTTAGAAATACATTTTCTCTTAAGGGCTGCTTTGGCCACACCTTAAAATTTGGTATTTTGCATTAGTATTGTCATATTTAACAAAATCATCTATCATTTCTATAATTTCTTCAGTTACCTATTCTTTAGAATTTGTTCAACCTCCATTGGACTTTAATCTCTTTTTTTCACTGGCCCATTAAAAATATGGCTTTCACTGTTGTCATTAAAGAATGTGTATAATAATTCTGGTTTTCTGAATTTGTGAGGATTTTGTATCCAAATATATTATCAATTTTTGCTAAGATTCAAACCCAGGTGAGAAACATGTATACTCTTTTAAATACTCATTCAATATTCAAAACTAGTTTAAGATATCTAAATTTTCTAAAATTGTATACAGGTCATGACTTCTTATTTATTGTTTGGCAAGATTTATTTAGGGTTAAAATGGCTATATTGGGGTAATCCATTATTATATTTTTATTGTCCATTTCTCTTTATAATTCATTTAGTTTTTCCTTTAAGTCTTTAGCTGTGATGTCATTTAGCACACATATTTTAAGAATTGAAATTCAATCACTGTCTATGTTGCCTTTCTGAAAAACATAATTTTTCCATTTATCTCTTTTAATTAAGTCTATTTTTGCTGTTGCCTTGTCTGAAATCACAGTCAAGTCAATGGTGATACATCTGGGCTGCAAGCCAGGGTGACTGGGAATATGGTGGTCCCCTGGAGAGTAATAAAGAAGGCAGGAAGACGGGAGAGTTGGGGGGGGGGAAGATTGTGATGTACCTCACTTGGGGAGCAGGGAGAAATGTCTTGTTTTGAAATGTTCAGGCAATGTAATTCATACTAGGGGGGAGGTCTGCATAACATATATTGATGATCCGTAGATAAGGGACAGAATATGCTTGGTTAATAAACGATTTAAGTATAGAAAATGCAAGAATGAAGAAGTTGATTTTCAAAAGACAAGGATGGAAAGAACTATGACATACCAAGGAATCAAAAATAAATGTAACAAGATTATACAGATCAAGTGGGTCTCAAATGAAGAGATATGAGGAGATACTCCCAACTTACCTCTCAGTGAAAGTGGGAGGTCCACAAATGTTATACATAGCACATGGTTTTAGACTTTCTCAATGTATTGATCAGTCAAGCTGATTACTTTTCCTCTTAAAAAACAAAAAATCCCCACTATTTGTCTTATAGGATGGCTCTCATGGGAGAACATATAGGATAATTTTATTTACATAAAAGCATACGTGTCTAATGGTAGCCATCTCTAGGCTGAAATGGAGAGAGAAGCAAAAAAAAAGAAATTTACATGATAATTTTATTGTACATTTGAAAAAATAGCAAGTTGTGCATAGCAGATTTGGATTTTCATCTTTTTTATGTTCATCTTTTTTACTGTACTTTGTTAAGGAAATGCTTGTTTTATTCCATCAATTATGAATAAAATCTAAAAAAATGTTACCACTTCTGAAACAGAGAAGATGGAGATCACTAGAGGAGAATGTTTACTGAACTGTGACATAAAGTTACTATCACTGGTATTTTTATGCAACTACTTTTTTGGTTTAAAGCATATAATTTAGAGGGTGAAGGAAAAAAATCTTTTTCTAGAAATGACTATAGTGAAATAGCACAAAGCCTTACAGAAGAAATAAAAGAAACCTTTCTAATTTCTCTCTAACCACTCATTTACTCATATATTCTAGGACTGTGCAAGAATTCAAAGTCAGTAGCCCAGAGGCTTTGCAGAATCTACCCTCTCTTTTTAGAAACTTGGTAAATGTCACCTTTTCTGTCCTGTGGCACTTTGCCCCATTCTCCAAGATCTTTCAGAGACACATGATAGTGGCTAAGCAATGAAGCATATTATACACTCCCATCAGAACAGCTGGATCCTGACTTTTACTTCTGGCATCCACTTCGCGTTCACAGTTTCTGGGGCTCTAATTCCTAGTTCAAAGTTCACCACTGTTTAATGAGAAAACAAAAGCCAAGGAAGATTTTAGTTGTTTAGCTTTCTCACAGGTATCCCTTTGTCATCACCATCACACCATGAACGCTGAAATATGGTCTTCACTATTTTTTGATCTTGCCTCCAAGCTAGATTTTAAAAATCTTTTGGCAACTTTTATCACAAGAATAATTTGTTTCAGGCTTTGTTGTCTCTCCACTACTCTTTTCCAAACTGCTCTATTTCTTTTTTTATTCATCCTGAATTAATGGCAATTTAAGATATTTTTATCATCATGATTAGTTATGCTTCAAGTCAATCAGCCATTAAAAATTACAGCTGAATACAATGATCCAAGATAACTCTGAAGGACTCATGATGAACCCTACAGCCTCCAACTGTCAATCAGGAAGAGATCCTGAAGCCCAGGTGGTAGAGCAGGCAAACACCAACACCTGGACCTCCCAGGGCCTCAGTGGGGGTGGGGTGGGAACTGGTGGAAACCAGCTGAGAAAACTACCAGGTGCCTTAGCACTCTACCACAAAGAAATCTCCCAGTGCATTAGCAGAAACGAGGAAGGCCACACACCAAGGGGCCCTAGGCAGATAAACACCCTGCACCATCCCTCTAAAAGGAGCTGAAGAAAGCTAAAGGAAAGGAAAAGCAGGTAACCCAGAATTGCCTGAAAGTTCCAGCCTTGCTGATTATTCCAGCCCAACATGAGGTAACCTACCAGAACCCTACTGCCTCCAAATGCAAACATAAGAGGCCCCAGCACACTGGACCCAGCCAGTGACCAAGACCTAGGCTCCCAACACAAGAAGCTTGGGTCAGTACCCTCTGTTCCTCAGCTGGACAGCTCAATCTCTTTAAAGGCCAGGGAATAAAGAAACACCATGAGTAAAAAGAAACATACCATAGATTCATATTATGAGAAGAGTGAAAATCAAGGCAGAAATTCTGAAGAGGACAACATCAAAAGGGAATAAGAACTGGTCTGAAGCCCAAAAAGCCTTCTTAGAAGAGCTCAAGAAGGATTTTAAAAGTCAAATGAGAGAGGTAGAAGAGTCCTTAAAAATTCAATTGGCCAACTGGAAAAAAAGTACAATGAAGAAAACAAGTCCCTAAAAAACACAACTGGCCAACTGAAGAAGTACAAAAACTAACAGAAGAAAACAATCGGTTAAAAACTCGAAAAGGACAAATGGA